GCTCTTCATTCAGGGATTGTCCTTTGTAACTGGCACCACAATCAAACACAACTCTGAGTTTTCCCTTTGTCGGGTGGTGGACACCATGGTGTGGTATGTACCAGACCCTGCCATCTCTTCTTTCTAGCTCTGCATCAGGAACCTTTTCAGCATAGCCTTTACTTCATCATTGAGGAAGGTGTTATACTCCCTGTGAAACGCTGGATCCCTCTGGAGCCTCCTCTTCAGATGGTTTTGACGCTGTTCCACTACTTTCCTGTTATTTGGCATGCTGACATTTGAATTTTTCAAATGTAGGGCCACCTGATAGTGCCCATCGACATGTTTGGCTGACTTTGTGACCATGTCCATGAACCTCAGGTCTTCTCTGGACAGACCCACTTGTTCCTCCACAGCAGATTCTGGAAAATGCATCTTGAATTGCTGTTGCCACAGTTCATCCAAATTTACAATGGACACACGATTCACAGTTACTGGCTGCTCACAGTAATCGGCCTCTCCACTGTTTCCTGTCAGTGGTCCGTTAACTGTCCAACCCAGCACCGTCCTTATGGCGTAGGGTCCATTATTCTCACTACGGATGACTTCCAGTGGTTCCATGGCTTTTGGGACATTTATTCCTATTAATAGCTCAATTCCAGCCTTAATCTGTGGTAAGGAGATATGCCTTAAGTATGGCCACCTTGTCAGATCCTTATTTGCGGGTATATTTGATTTGTGGACTGGCATTGACAACTGAGTGTAAGCCTTTGGCAACTCTATGAAGCTATCATCTTCTAATGCTGCCACCTCCAGCTCTGGCACGATGTAGCTGCTGACCACCTTCTCCTGCCCCATGGTCTTGAGAAGAATGTTGGCTCTCTTCCCAGACAAATTGAGTTTCTGCATCAGACTCTCAGTACAAAACACTGCAGTACTTCCCTGGTCCAGAAAAGCATATGTTAGAATGATTCTATTGCCCTTCTTCGTCTTTACTTGGATTGGCACAATAGGAAGCTTACAATCCATCTCACCAGCCCCTGTAAGCCTACTGGAAACCAAGGTGCCGTCCACCGTAACTTGGACGCCTCTCTCTAGCAGGTTCTACAGTTGCCACACTGTCCTTATGGAGCACAGTTGGGTGTTTTTGGCCACACTTCGAGCAGGAAAGCAGAAGGAGAAAGAGGCTATACTCCTGGAGGGCGCTCACATCATCTGTTTTAATAGTGGGCCATAACAAAGCTCTCTCCATGTATGCTGCTGCCACCCTTTGCTCATTGCCATAGTGCTCTTTCAATAAAGCCTTCGCCTTCACATATCCTCTGTCTGAATCAATGTACTGACAGCTCCTCACCAGCTCTTTTGCACGTCCTTTGGTGTACTGTTCAAGGAAGTAGAGTCTGTCACAGTTGCTATTGGTGTGGGGGGGTAGAGCACAGCCTAATCTGGCGGGGGAAAGCTAGCCCAAAAAGGCACCTCTCCCTGACTCTACCTCCCTAATTGTCTTGGAGAGTGGGGGAGTAGGGGGAGGTAGAGCACAGCCTAATCCGGCGGGGGAGAGTTTAGCTCAAAAAGGCATCTCTCCTTGACTCTACCTCCCTCATTCAAAATGGCCGCCACTTTCTCCAACTGGTTAGGGGAGTTTGTTTGCTGAATCTGCTAGTGTGTTTTGTCCAAGTTGATGATGTTGTTTGTGGTAGCATAGGCAAGATAAAGGAGAAAATAGTTGTCGTGTGAGGAGCAGTGATGGCTGGCATTAGGGGAGTGACTCTGGGACGCCAGTGATCACTGTCTAGCCTCCTGGAGGTGTCGTGGGACCAACTAGACGAAACACTAGTGAAAGGAGGTTCCCACCTGATGACCCCAAAGACATGTTAGTTATCACTGCTCATTAGTCTGTATAGCCAAATTAATACTTATCATAGGACTTAGGATGTTAAACTTAGGGAGCTATTCACTGAGTCTGGTCCATTTTCTGTAGCACAAGTTTCTTGTGTTTACCTTAAATGCTCCACAGACAAAGGAACTCACCTCCCCACAGTTCCTCACTGTTCACACCTGGGGATGACCCTCCCCCCCAGGACCTCACTTACCAGTCAGTGTTGGTAAGTGTGTGACATGTCACCCCCCAGGGTGTCACCAAACAAAACCAGATCTCCGTCTTTGCTCTCTCTTCTCCCTCTCTTCTCTTCTCGGCTTGCTCAGTAAAGCAGCTCCTGCTCTCCCCTCTCGGCTCTTCAAAGGGCAACAAGGCCCCAGCCCAGGTCAGCCCTGCTACCTGAGAAACTAGCTCTCTCACTGGCCTGCTCACAGCAGCCTGCAAACACTCTTTTCCTCAACAGCAGCGTCCTGCTTCGGATTAACTGAGAGTAAACCAATTTCTCTTCAGAATCAGCAGCTACAACACAAAGCCAGCCAGCTGATTTTCCAAGCAACAGGAGTCACAGCAGAGTTAGCATGGAACAGCTAACTCTGTGAGGAGAACAAAGGAGATAACAGCAGAAGCAACACAGCCAGACAGGACTTTGCTACACCAGGAAGGCACCCAACTCACCGGACCGAACAACAACACTGGAAAGGACCTCTTTCTTTTGTTCCAAGGACTGGGTTACGTTAACTGAGTGGGCCTAACCTCTCCTAGCACAGCATAGCACAGCTAAGCAGCAGAAGTCTTAACTTTGTTAATGTACATGTTGATTAATGTCTTGTTGTTGAAATGTTTTCTTAGGTTGTGGTCAGTCATACAGTTAATCGGGTACTTGTATGTTTAAACACATACCTGTAGTATGTCTCAGTTATAGAACCTGCATGCAGCTAACCTTCTCCCTCTAACCTGGTACCTTTAGATAACATTAGCTAGGCTAACAAAGAAACTCACACACTAGGTGGTCTCAGCGGCCATTTTGAGTAGTTTCTTTGTTTACCGCCATCTGTATAGTCTTCTTTGTGCAGGTCATATGGTCACAGTGACTACTTTGAATCAGCCATCTTGCCTTTGTCCCCACAGACACACCCCCATTACACATACACACACACACACACACACATACACACACACCTGTATATACTAGATTAGACATTATGTTTTTACTTTGTCCATTGTAAATAAATGTCTTTAAGTATAACCACCGGTGTGTTTAATGTTGCACAAGCGTGAATATTGCCAACCTCTACTTAGTAGAATTCCAATCCTTCATCTTAATTTACTGTTGATATGGTTATTTGGTTATAGTTATTAAGGTAATTATCAGAGTTCCAGATTAATAGTAATAATTTTAGACTGAAACAATATTGGATATTTTGCCTATTAGTTTAGGCTGGTGCCCCCAAGGACTTTAATTCATTTTAAAGTTATTATTTAATATTAATATTTTTAATATTAATATTTTCTTAATTCATGACAGCCAATAAATTGATAGACAACCGAAGATCCAACATTTATGGTGTCCAGTTCATGAGTCAGAGCTCAGAGAAAAGCATGGTTGTTTGTGAGAGAAGGGTCCTTTGTCTCTGTTTCCTATCAATTTGATACTTTGATGGTGGGAAGTGTCAATTTTTGGTCTATAACTCTGCATGTCCTTACAATTAACTTCTTTAATGGCTTGTGACTGATGCCAGGCCAGGTATGTACACCAGTCACAAACAAGAAATGTTTTTCCTCCCTTTTCTATTATGTTAAATGTTGTTTTTTGTTTGTTGTTTTTTGTAAAATGATCAGAGGTGGGATCTTCTCCATTACATGTACTAAGTAACTTTATTGAGTTAATTGTACTTTTACTCTTACTCAATTAGACTTTTAGAGAAAAAGCATACTTTACTTCATAACTCTGTTAATGGTTTATTCCACTCCTGTAGTTGGGTGGACAGAAGTACTTTGTCTCCAAAGGCAGTAAATGTGTGGATACTGATGAGGAAGACTTTAGGACGTGAACTTTGACATGATCATGTCATTAACAAAAAGTCAAAATAGGATACAGAAAAGAAAAGGAAGGAAAAAGGTATAATATTATAATTGATATCTTGCTGATGAATGAAGAAACATTGGCATCAGTTTAAGAAACCACCATCTTGTCATGTTATTGAGAATATCGGACACATTGAGCTGTCATGCTTTCTAACTCTTCTCTATGCCCCTCCAAAGAAAAGTAGTCAGGGAAGCAGCCACTGCAGCCACTGTAGCAGTGGGTAAGCCTAGAACGAGGGGCATAAATACCTTGGTATAGTGATACTGAGAAGGGACCTCTTTAACATATACTGACTTCACTGATAATAAGAAGTTACTATGTTAATATTACTATTTTACCTGATTGGATACATTGCAGGAAGGTATTCATTCTCACGCTTTAACTCTCACCCTGCTGAACTACTACATTGCATAAAGTCATAACAAACCTGCCAACCTAGCTGAGGCAGGAGGTAGTGCAGTAGTCCTAGTAACTAGAGCCCCACAGCAGCACTTGTGAATGATGAAATAGCACCAAACCAATAGGAACAGGACTTCATTGGACCATGGCCTACGCTCCTAAGCAGTACCCACATTGACACTTGCATTTGATTTTGGAGTCCATCAGAACCGGTTAACAAGATTCTAAGCCTACCCTCTGCTGCCTCAGCAGAAATCCAGATCCATCAGTCCAGGCAATGTATTTCCTGTCTTCAACCACTGCAGCCTCAGGTTTCTGTTCTTGGTGACAGGAAGTGGAACCTGATGTGGTCTTCTGCTGCTGTTCTCAGGAGATCAGCAGTTTGGGAAACACTCCAACCAACAATGACACCAACAATCATGTCACAGTCATAGTCACTGAGATCACATTTTCCCCCTTTCTGATGTTTTATGTGAACATTAACTAAAGCTCTTCACCTGTATCAGCATGATTTTATGTACTGAACTTCTGCCACATGATTGGCTAATTGGATAATTGCATGAGTAGGCAGGTGTACAGATGTTCCTAATAAACTGGATGGTGAATATATACAGTAATCTTGATTTAAGTGTGTGTGTGTTCTGTGGGGATTCCTAGGTGTATGAAGTGAAGAAGTCGAGCGGTGTTGTGGGGAAGATCAGTTCTCTGGTCAGTAAAGTTCTGGAGCCTCTTCACCCTCATGTTGAGGAACATCAACCAAAGAACATCAAACATCTGTCACACACTTTCTCCAGGGAAAAAGAACACTTGTAAGTACACCTTTTACCTTTTACACTTAGATGAAAAAAAGGTGGTAACATGATTGTCAAGTGGTGAAATGAAATAGACATAGAGTGTTGCAAGAGGGTTGTTTCTTAAGGGAGGCTCTCAGTGACCAGGGTTTTTTTTATGGGAAAATCTGTTTTGAATTAACCCAGAAAACAAAACCAGGATTCTGCAAATCCTAGGAACTCGCTGAAGACCTCTGTGATAAAATAGTGGTGAGGCAGAGATCAGAGTGAGTGTATAAAACCATTTCTAAAGCTTTGTCCCAGAAGCACAGGGCTTGGAACCATCAGGACTCTTCCTGGAGTTGGCTGTATGGCCAAAGTCAGTAACTGAGCAAGAGGGGCCTTGGTCAGGGAGGTGACCAAAAACCCAATGGGCACTCTAACAGAATTTGAGAATGTATCGCCTGCTAGAACCATGACCCTCTCAACAGCACCCCATCAATCAGGCCTTCATTGTTAAGTGACTAGATCCAGCTGGTACCCATCTGTGAACACTGACATTTTTGCTGTGCAAAACACAATCTAAATCAGCAGAATTAGCTTGCTGCAGATCAATCAGTCGCTCAAAGTCTGTGAAAGGCTTGTTGTTTTTGACCACATAATATGCTGTCCTGAATACCCTAGAAGTGGTCTCAAATGCACACTCCAGACTGGTTGCGTTCATGTTCAGAAGTATATCTTTCTTTGCTGTCTGGAGAATCCTAATTGCTTCATTATGTGCTGTGGAGTTTCTGTGCTCATGGGCTTTTTTGTGCAGTGATACAAGCTGGGAAACCTTTGAGTTACCAAATGGGGCTATCTGTCCCTCAGCCCACTGGGTAACAAAATTGACCCAGAGGATGCCAAGATCCCTCACATCATGGCAGGGGGTACAGCTGAGCTTTCCATTGTTGTTTTCCATTGAACATACAGTCATTCATTTGTGCATTTGTGCTCCTGAACTGTTCATACTGTTTTTTTTCCATATAGAGGGATAAGCAGTAGGCAATGCATCGTCACCTGCACTTGCTTCTGCAGGTCCTGCGGCTGCCACTTCTTTTTGCTGAGTTTGTGCCTCCTCGCTCTGGCCCTCAACTTGCTCTGAATCATCTTCCCTACATTTTCAGTTTCAGCATCTCTGTCTGTTCTCTTAAACATTTGAATAATTGTTCTCTGCATTATTCTTTTTGTATGTCTTTGGCATTCTTCCATAAAAGGCTCTTTTTTATGCTGACAGCCTGTCAGCCAACCACAAGAATGTTTGGAATTTTGTTGGAATCACTTATTGTTCATCCTGTCCCGGTGCATACAACATTAAAGTCTGTGGTTGTGAAAAAATTTTGCATGCCAGAACAATAAATCGAATGCACAGAGGTGCTGTGTTTGGGAAGTAAAGTTGCACATGCGCAGTTGCATACCATTGATATGAGTTGCAGAGTAATCTCTGATTGTCACCTCACACACAGCTTGTCTGAGCTGCTGTGCTATTGGAATAAAACAGAATATCATGAAACATCATTTATTTATTCTATTTATTCTGCTACTCATTTTCCTCGGCAGATTTGCAACAAACAGGTGCCTGCTAACGTTAACTAGCGGTAATAAAAGGCAGCTTGGCTCCGTCCAGCTCGGATCACAACTCGAAGAAATTCTGAACGACTTAGAAACAATAAATAAGGAGATTACATGTTGTTTAAGATGACATAATGTTAGCATTGTTTTTTTCACTGAAAAAGTCACAGTCACATTTTCAGTGAAAAAAATAGTACCACCACTGAATCTTTTAGTGGTACGCAGTAACGGTACCGTACCGGCCTACTTTTACCCCTGGCTATAGCCCCTACTCTGCAGGACTTACACATCAGAAGGTGCAACACCAGAGCTCCAGTCAAAGAAATGGACCAGTTTCCACAATCAGCACAATGCCTCTGTCACAAATCCAACAGATGGAGATCCTCAGACCATCAGGATGTTGAACCCTGCCCTGAGCATCTGTCTCTGTGTACAGTTTAAATTAGAGATGATTCCTGGTTTTCATGCCAGCGATAGCGAGTGCTGGAGGCATATTGTTTTCAGCTTGTCCGTCCATCTGTTCATACGTACGTACAGTAATGCCTTGACTGAACTTCTTCAAATCTGGCAGAAACATTTACTAGCATTCAAGGTTGAAATAATTCGATTTTGGTGGTCAAAGGTCAGGTCAGTGTGACCTCTCAAAACACTTTTTAGCCATACCTCAAGACTTCACACACCAATTATGACAAAATTCACACAAATGGTTCATATTATACATGACTCCAGATAATCAGGGATGTAACTTAAAACTAAAGGAGAAGACAGACAACCATGAGGAGGTCATTCTAGTTTGAGGATGGACAACAGCCAGGTTGAGTGGACAGTGTGGATGCAGCGATATATTTTTCTGGTACAATTATAGTATATATATATATATATATATATAGTATATATGTAACCCATGTCCCATGTAGCTACGTTATATTTATCCTGAGTGTGTAGTACAATGGGACAGGGCCTGAGTTGTTGAACTGTTATGTGTAATATTACCCTTTAGTTTACCTCTTTCGATTGTTACCACAATTTTGATTTCAAAACTTCCTCAACAAAATTAATAAAACACCACACAACTGTACTTTAAATGCAATAATCCTTTTACAGGTATTTATTTACATAATGAGATAAAATAAAATTTGGCACTCTTTCTTTGTGAAATAAAATATAAACAATACTCAATATGTTATAAATAAAAGTGTACAAAGTAAAATATCAGGTTTCCTTAGTTTTAAACCTTTTCCTTTTGGTTTCAAAATACTCCTCTATACCTTTATGTTCAGCAAAAAAATACCCTTTTTTACCTTTAAATTCAACAAAAATACCTTTTTGGGCTTCTAAGTTACACCAAAATACCTTTTACCTTTCTTTCAAGTAGAATAAGTACCTTAAAACACAGTTTCAATCACATACAAAAAATCAAAATCACTCGATGTATACCTGTGGGCCCACACACACATTCACTTCTTAATCATCAGATTTAACCCTGTTGCAGGCCTGATTTGAAACTGGGGTGCGGTGAGGCCTAAAAACTTTAATGGCCGCTTCACTCTGACATGAGCAGAAACAAAAATCACGTGCATACAAGTTCAATTAGTTCAGTTAGTACTCACGAATCCCAAACGAGTTGTTACTGGGGATAGCAGTCACAGGGGCAATGGCAGTCACAGTTGAGCAGTTAGTACACCGCATCGAAGAATCACAGGAAGAAAACAGCAGAGTCTGTCCACTGGGAAGACCGGGAAAACCACTCCGACCTCTCTCTCTCCACATCTCCTTTAAGCATATTAACTCAGTTGAGCCACAATACCAAACGCTATTTCATGGTGAATTAACATGAAGTCCGTTTTAACTGGGAAGCATTACAATGCTACAGTAACAATATGATATCAAGGCACATTTACATGGTATGCTAAGCTAACCAGCAGGTCGACAACTAGCATCACACATCATGTCTTATCACTACAACAGTTAGTTACAGCACAACAAGAAAGCACACACTTATTTACCTTTTTTCGGATTACAAAAAAGTTATCATCAGGACCACGAGTAGTCGACCTTGCAGATAAAACTTGAAATACTCTCAGCAACACGCTGCTTCGTCTCTCCTTTTTCCGGACAACAGTACATCTGTCTTTCTTCTAGCGAAAACCCAACACTCCCCTGACCTGCGCCACTTGTCCCGCCCCAATGACAATACAGAAAACAGATTGACTGACATTAAACTGGTAACAGGTTAGGTTGCACGGCTGATTACACAGACTTTAGATCAAACAAACTCCTTTTCTCCTGAATAACGAATTTTTAAAGTAACATAAATCTTTTTACAAATATTTATTTAACTTTTTAAACTATAAATAGCACAACTTTTTAAACTGTACATATGATATTTATGCATTTTTCCAGTACATATTTTAACCAGTTTTAGTATTATGAACTTTTGGGTTTTTATACAACTATTTTTTTTGCTGTGTTACTGATTCTATGCACTGTAGTCTGAATGATTTTAGACAGGGCTACATATAGGAATAATCACGGTTTCACGATTATTATACCTAAATTTATTTAACAATATTACTGTTGTATTACATCACATGTGCATTCTTTGGATATTTTAATGTTATTTATTGCTGCCTTTTTAAACAGAAATAATACAGAAACCTAGTAAAACAGTACTGAATATTAATAGTATAATATAAGTATATATAATGTATAATAGTTATTTTTAAATTAATATTATAAATATGAGATTTAACTTTAAATTATTACTAATGTGGGTTATTAATTGTGTTATTACTATACTATACTATACTTTGGGGTCAACATGAAAATGAAAATGCAAACTGTCAGACCTCTCATCAAGACGGGTCTTCAGTTAGGACGTCACTTCCTTGTCACCATTTGTGTTGTCACTGGGGCAGGGGCTAATAACTGGTAGTACACCAAAATTTGCCAGATGTTTCTTCGCTCACTTTATTACACACTTTGTTGATAAACTATGTGTGAAGAGCAGAAGAGACAGTGCCAGACCCAGGACTTGGATAATAAACACACGGTCATTTACAGGTGAGTGAGTTAACTCTTAAGTCATGTCTGTGTTTTTGGTCTTGTTGTGTGCATGACATCATAGCTAACTGTTAGCTTGCCTCAGAAGTTAGCAAGTGGTAGTTAATTGATTTTGTTGACAGGTAACCTGGAAGCTAACTGTTGTAGCTGACACACAGCTGTATGGTAATGTTTTTTGTTTATTGTTACTGTCAGCTCTTCCTCCTCTCAGAGGGTATTCGCCAACGTACGGCTGTGTGAATGTCTACATTAACTGTAGGAATTCGCCTAGTCATTAACAACACAGCTGTAATGGCTGCACTGACTTTGACGGTTTTTATTTATTAAGCTCTGTCTTCACAAATGTGTATGTTACCAGCATCGTG